AGCCGGACACCATGGTATTATTATTCAAAAGCTTGGTTAGATCGGGAATGGAATGAGGAATTTTCTTGTATTTTTGGGAAAATAATAGAGCAATAAACAAAATACTAAAATTACACAATACAGGGATAAGAATCGCTATGGGATATAGGATTACTACTCCTATAAACTTAATGAATACGGAGACAGGAATTATGGATATGGAAAAGAGAGCGGAGGTCCTATTGGAAAGATTTATCTTGAAGCATGGAATTAAAGGAAGAGGCTTGGTATATGAAACCTTAATGAGCGCACTAGTAGTAAGAGATGAAAAGAGAATCGAGGGAATGGATCCATGGACGAGAGCGTGGTGTATGACTGAAAACTTAGCAGCGAGAGCAATCAAGAGTAATATAAGGAGGGAGAAATGGTGCAAGATGGGAAGGTTTTTAGATGAGGGTGGATCGGTAGTGGAGTGGGATATGGGTAAAGTTAGGAAAAATACAGAGATGGAGGATAGAAATTTGATGGTGGAAATTAAAAGGAAGTGTTGGGATAATACTGATCCGGACAATATTCTTGAAATTTATACAGATGGTATCAAAAAAAACCCCAGCTGAGGCGGTGGGGGCGGGTTTAGGATGAGGGAATCAGAGTGGAGGGAACAGGGGTGGTCACTGAACAAGGCAACGTCGGTTTTTTCTGCGGAGGCTTTTGCCATCTTACAAACAATGAAGTTAGCAAAAGTCCTATCCCATGACAAAAGTGTCTTAATAGCTTCAGACTCGGCGAGTGTTCTAAGTAAATTAGAAAATATAGGCAGAAGGGAAGGGAATAACCCTTGGGTCCATGAAATCCTGAGAGAAAGTATGGAAATAAATGGGGCGAATAGGACTAGGAATAGGTCAGAAACAGAATCTGATGGTATTAGAACTCGGGGAAGAGTGGCGCTTGCATGAATCCCGGGCCATGTAGGGATAGAAGGCAACGAAAGGGCAGAACCGGCATGCAGGGGAAGCCACTTTTGGGGAGGAAGAGTTTGAGTACGGTATAGTAGAGAAGGATATTGTAAACTATATAATGGATATGGCATGGAGCAGAAGTGAGGATAGAGCTAGAAGAATAAGGGAGGTGAAGAGGGCAAAATACTTTGCAATAAACAATAATAATGTGGGAGCTAGAAAGCCGTGGTTTTATAGCATTAAAGGGTTGGACAGGGGTGACCTTGTTCGTCTAAGCAGGATCAGGACAAATCATTTTAACCTTGGTGAATCTTTGTTCAGGAAAAATCTATCAGAAGAAAGGGACTGTACTTGTGGAAACGGGGTGGAAAGCATAGAACATGTGGTTTGGAATTGCGACAGATTGTACAATAAGAGACTTGAGTTAAATAAATACCTTAATGAAAAAGGCTTTGATGTAGGGGCTGATGTCCAGGCAATATTAATAAATGGGGACTTGGGAATAATTAAAAAAATTTCCAGATTCTTAGATAAGCTAAAAAAAGTAATCTAAGACGTATCCGCCTCATATCATTCTCATTACGTGAAGTGAGATGGTAAAGATTTCACATAGGTTAAGTTCGCGTTGCGATGGATGTAAGAGGCAAATTTTATACTGGCCAATAAGGACGGAAGGAAATATGTGGGTGTTTTCAAGGATATTAATGACCTGTAGGTGAAATAAGAAGTCGTTAAAGGTTCGTTGGGCAATATAGGGGGTACCCCCCCTACAAAGCGCCATCTTGGGAGTGGTTTTCCCAAGTAAAGAAAAATGTAATGTAATGTAATACATACATACATTTCCCCTTTCAAATATGATAAGGGTGGCGTTCTTTAGGGACTCTCCGTCCCTACCTGCCCAACGAACACTGTCGACCACGCGCTTCGGTGGTTGGCAAGTCTGCCAATCCCCTAGCGCCTTTGTGTACTTCGTCATTCGATTCAATTTGGGGTATACCAGCATACGAATATCATGCGATACCGTTAATAATATTTCTTTTCCATTCGCAGTACTTTTCACTCTCAAATAGTATTTATTCATATCACTACCTTTACAAACATTGTATCATACCACACTGTTAACTCCATAACTTATTTTCACCACTAACAACAACTTCCACCTCTTCTCTTTTCTGTTCAAAACAAAAATAAAAATACAATGCAGCAATGCAGATCATCCTAAGAAGATAACGCAGATCAATACTGGGAACTCTAGTAGTTATTAGAGTATTAAAATAAGGCATTAAAGTATCGAGATAGCCCTTTCTTCCACATGCTCACGTATGCACTCTCTCATGCAAAAGATGTATACAGCATACGTATTCTTTATACATATACTTTTCTTTTTTCTTTACATTTTACCATCTTCTATATATAGAAGCAAGAGGCACACTTTTCCCTTGCTAGGTCTTATTCGACTCTTGGTTTCGCATAATGTTCAAGACTCAGATTCTTATCACTGTTTTTTCTTTCCTCTCTTTTCACACACTATACATTATAGTTATAACTGGAGCGTTATGTCATAGCACTAAATGATACGGCTGGTTCTCAACAGGAATCTGGCAACCAGTTTTCCAATGCCTGGTTTGTCCTCTCTCAGAAGTTCCGGGAGAGGGGAGCGCGGAGCCAATCCCCTCTTTTCCAGTCCCGCCAAAAAGTTCACCCTTAAACCATCATACCCACTGCATTTCCACAAAACATGGTACAGATCTTCCTCCGCTTCCCCGCATTCGCAGGTAGGATCATCTATAATACGTTTGTGTGCAAGCGACTCGCCTAGCTTAAAATGGTTGGCCCTCAGCCTGCTTAGCATACAATCGTTACAATTACAAATGTTTTCTGCCGTATCTATAACGTTTCGAATTTTTTTGCTTACGAGTTATTAATTACCAAGTTTGCCATACCACAATCAAATCGTTATTGGCAGCATCGTATATTCGGGTATTTTTAATTTTGCGCCGCCTCCGAAAACTTTGGAATGTATTTGGTATCCTATTTAACGATTAAGTAGATATTATTAATAGCTATGGAATATTGGTATAAATGAAATAGAAATTATTTTACACTTTTTAGTGCATTTCGAAGTCGGTTTTTTTTTTGTTAAAAATTATTTTATTCATAGAAACTATTATCTTTATGACAAAAATCAGTACGACATAAAATGTGCATTTTGATGATGTCTACAACTTTTATCTGAAGTATTTTTCAAAATTCCCATTATTTACGGAAGTAAATAAAACAAACTATGATTTTTATGATCTTTGAATGGTTTCCGCCATGAAAATACAATTTGCACCAATTCTCACTATCATATTCGTAATCAGCACGTCAAAATACGCAAAAATCCAGAGTATAAAAAATATCGGAGGTATGTCTTTTACGGAAGTACACCCTTTTTTTCTAATTGCCAATTGAGTTGCCAAACTCTTCCTTTCATATATGGCATCCAAACTTTCCAGAATTTCTCTCGTTGTACTCCCTATACTTGCGAACCCAAGGAAGATATCCAATAAATATTCCACAATTACATTTTTGGCGACCCTTCCGGCTTTAATCCATTCGATGCTTAACATGTCTGGAGCTTTTTCGTCGATCACCTTTATCACATCTAGTTCACTCATTAGAGCACGCACTCTAAGTTTCCAAACACTATACCGCTCACCATTGAAAGGTTTAATATTTCTTTTAGCCTTTAGATTTTCCATAGTTCTTGTCTTTTAATAACTAACACAAAAATCACACGTATATATATATTAAAAAAAAATAAAATGCCACTAAATATAAAGTTATATACTATTTAATACTAAAAAGGCCTAATCACTATATTTTTTAGTCACTATAGTTTCTTAAACACTATCACAATATATTGTTTCCTTATAATCACTATATTATTAGTCTGTCACTTTTTTTGAAAAATAACAAAGTTAATAATGAAATCGTTCACTGGGCCCATAACCTATTGGATATGGATAAAATAAATTCTAGAATACAGTTTATTTCTTTCAAATCTATTTTATTAAGCAACTAGGAAGGACGTTTTCACTGTTTGGAACACTGACACAAAGTGACAAGAAAGTCCGTAAGGATAAGTCCCACTTATAGTATCAAAAGGACCAAGACTGCATTCAGTCTATTACCCAGGCCCTTAGGTATAAACAGTCCCAGGCCTATAGGTCCGTTGACATCTGGTCTGTAAATATAGCTTTGAAGCACGCAGTGTTTCTCAAATATAAAATTAATTTATTTTTGCTTTCTAGCTGACGCGTTATAATTATTATCAATAATCCAACAGTTAAAATATAATTAATTTTAAATGTATTGTTTTGTTTAAAATAAGTTTGTATTAAAACATTGTTTCATTAAAAAATTGTTCTATTTACAAACTATTTCAATTACATAATGTTCAATAAAAAATAGTTACAAAATAACAGTTTTTTTTATCATAACTATTATTTCTCCAAAAGTTGCCCAAAACAAAATTTTGACAAGAGATGTAAAGAAAATTATAGTGTCTTATTTTGATATTTCCAATTTATGGTCACTATATGTTAAACCATAGTCATACAATAACAGCCATTCTTGACTTACCACACAAAATGATAAAAGAATATTGTAACTTAGTTTTAAATATTTAATCTAATACCAAATAATAGACATTAATTGATAACAGTTAATAAACGATTTAAATTCTTTGTATTTAATTAATGTAGAAAAATCTCATGAATTTCTCAATACAGATGATATACAAAATAATTTTAATCCCTGATGAGAATTTTCATCAAAGGTTAAAACAATGAAACATTAAAAACTATTGCCTTTATTTGGGAGGATTGGATTAAATGAAAGAAAAAAGGCCATAATTACTGAGCTTATCTTGATTTTAAATACCTGCAGAGACTTAAAAATTATATTTTATAATTAATACTAAACATTTTCAAAGTATAACAAAGATAACGAAAATCGATATTACGTAATATTTTTTGAATAGCTAAATATTATAACGAACGAATGTTATTAACTTACCCATTCGTGTATTTTGAACGATCGGTCGCAGCATATGTCGAAGCATTTTTATTATTTATAAAGTGACTTTTTGTTAGTTTTAAATAAAACGTAAATATCTACTTCAGACTTAACACAATGGCTCCAAATAGCTCTAGCAGACATATAATAGAATGACCATGGTACGAATATTGACCTCCAATAGATAGAAGGGAAAATCACTTGTGTTGCGTGTATGTACCATTTGCGGTGTAGCACAGCCGACTCTAGTACTAGCCGTGCTGAAGTAAAAATGGCAACACCGCGGGAGTCTGGTCTGAATATATCAACACCTAGCCTACTCTATCTGCCTCCCGGACTCCCGGACTCTCAGCCAATCAACGTCGTCAGACTCCCGACTACTCTCTGGACTTCACATAACCTCTTTGGTTTCGTTCCAATAATTTCGCTTGTTTCAAGGTTTTTATTAACTTATATACACGTTTATCAATTCTTAAATGTTTCTATTTGACCCAAAGATGGTTTCATTTTGCTTCATACCTAAATTTTCTTGAAACCACTGTAAATATTTCAAATATCATGCTTCACAACACCAAACTACTTTGAGAGTACACAAAATATATATCACATTTATAACAATTTTATACTACCACATCACTTCTATTTGCCATAGTTGCAACGTTTATATATTGTTTATACATAATTAACACCAAATAGTGTATATTACTACAGCTTTTAATTAAAAAAGACGTTAATTACAATTCCGAGCACAGGACTCTGTTTTTGAAAATAGGACTCCCGATTGTCACGTGAGCGGTGTTGCCACGTTGTTCAGCATGGCTAGTACTAGAGTCGGCTGTGGCGAGGCCTGCCGCCAAAACTTCATTTCATGGCTTTATTTTAACTAGAGGGTAAGATATAACTGCGGAACTCTCTGATTTTAATAATAAACAACGTAAATAAAGATCTATGGATAACTACGTCTGGTTGGTATCTATAGTACATAACGTTATGTAGAGATGGCGCCACTTGGAGTATAATTGTGGCGTTCGAAGGTTCAATAATCACGTGGACGCTGATTCTTTGGGGTTTATAAAATATATATTTCTCGGTAGACCGTTACATTTAACTATCGCTATTCAGTCTTTTTCTTTTGGACGTCCCTTAAACTATATCTTATACCTAGAACGTAAACCTAATGTGCCTAACTTATATGTACATAGTTTGTGGCTAAAAAGGGGAATCGCCTACATAATACATATAAAACTAAGTAGCGTATTATACTGTAGAATACCATGTATAATACATTGTATAATATCTCACGTATAATACGTGCTCAACCCTGGAGTGGAGTTTGGAGGGCCTGACCGACGGCGGTGACCTAAGGAAGTATCAGAAGGCTAAAATTTTAGTTGACAAATATTTATGAAGGATTAAAATTGATAGGTGTTATTATTAATGTAGCATTAAAGTGCTTGTATTAGTTTAAAATTAATAATAGAATTAAACACGAAAATTTGAAATTAAGTTATATTAACCTACTAGATACTGAAAAATTGTTGACCAGAGTTTGAAATTATACAGTTTTATAACTTTGTATAAGAAGTAACATTAATTTTTATAGACTTTCTAAAATTAATTCATTAATGTACGACAGTAATAAAACAGTGATGGTTTTATATTAGCCATAATTGAACTGTATACCTACAATTATGGCAGCGATAAGACATACATTACAAAGAGAAGTATTCACACCTAGTGATGAGAAATTATTAAGTATATGCTATGTTAGTAAGGCATATAAAAAGAAAAAAACCAGTTTCTTATGTTTAACTACAACAACAGATACACCTTCAGCTTTACTTTTGTATCAAGTAAAGAAAAATGACAAAAATATATTTAAAAAGAAGCAGTCATGGTCATTAAATGATATTCAAACTGTAGATGGAGTTAAAAATGATTCTATGGATATAGAATTTCATATAGATAAAATATATAAATGGGCTGCAACAACAGCGCAAGAGCGCAAAACATTTTTAAGCAATTTATATACTTACTCTTGTAATTTAGCACAAAGACCTCAATTTAAAAATATTCCAAAAGAATGGCTTATAGATCCCAGTTCTTTGAAAGAAAGCGACAGTATTAGTTTTACACCAGGTAAATATTTACACCAGGAAAGTGTTTTACTTCAAATAGTATATACATATTTTATGATTTTATGTATAAATAAATAAGAACTTCTTACATCACCTATTTCATCCGATTACCAACCAATTACTGAAAAGGAAGCTATTGATTTGAAACAAATGATGGAAAACTGCAAATATGCAGTCTCTAATGCTGAATTATTTATGGAAAATCTATCTAAGGATCTCTCAATTCTAGATGGGGTAAAGTTGAATCTTGATAAATTAATTAATTTCAGCAAAAAAGTACTGTTACAATTTAGAATTACATATATATTTGTACATTTTGGAAATAAGGTTATTAAATAGTGTATACGAAATATATCTTTTCCTAATGTAATAATTTTATATTTTGTTTGTAATTATTGATATGCAGGAAAATGTACAATCAGTTTTGGCATCGGAAACACGTGTAACTCAGTTGATGAATAGTATAGAAGAAGCAATAATTGAAGCTTCAGTTGCTGAAGCTCGTCTTGCAACTTATGATGAAGCACTTGGAAGAATCAGAGAGGTTATGGCTCGTGTGGGCCAAAAAAATCAAGCTATTCATACAGCTAACAGTAATGCCAGACTTTTGTTAGATCAATTAAACACAGTAATTGTAAGTAATTTTTAAAATGTATAACAACAATGAATACATTTAACAATACTTTATCTGCGCTTAATCAACTTTATGTATTGTATATAAAATTTTTAATTTTAATTTTGTAAGTTACAACTAGATATTTTACCAACTCATCAGCATACTTTAAGTGAAGCTGAGCTTCCAGGAGACAAAGAAGAACTTAGTGAGGCAGGTGCTATTCTTTTAAAAGCAGTAACTGCTTCTTTGCCACCAGGACTAGACAAATTGAGTGCAGTCACAGAACAAAGAAGACGACTTGATAAACTCAGAGCAAAATTTTCCATAATTGTGGCCAGACATCTAAATAATCTCTTCATACATTTGGTATATCTGTTTACATAAATAACGAAAATTTTGAAAAAAATGTATATTAAACTATATCGTGCATCTTGTAGGGTAACGATGTTGGGGATATGTCAATGTCAATAACTGATTTAATTCTTCCAACACATCAAACAGTTCATCAGGAACTTGAACCATATACTGAATTGATGCAGTTACTAAGAGCATTAGATAATAAGGCTTTTGTGCAGTTAACCAAAGTTTATACAGATACAATGAGTAAGTTGTACAAAAGAGATTTAAAACGATTTTTTGAAGAAGCTAAAAATAAACTTATTTGTAAACGTTTCCAAGGTATGCCTATTTTTATCTCTAATAATAATAAATTACGTTTATTTCTTTAATAAAGTATTATTTTTTAAGCAAGCACATCAAAATCTAGTGGTCAAAAAACAGAAGATTTATTGAACCCAGCACCTATTTGTCTATTGAGTGGTGAAACATGGGCACCTGTAGGAGAAGGAAATCTTTTGGATTCAGTTTTAGATTGTATGCTTTCGCAAATGCAACCAGTTTGTCTTGCAGAACAAGCTTTCTGTATTTTATTCTTGCAATTAGATTCTGTTCTTTCCCCATCAAAAGTACGTAAATCATTTGTTTGAATATATTGTAACAGTTTGGAGCTAAATATTTATTTGAATATGTCAGAGTAGTGAAATAGAAGAAACAGATAATATTAGTAACGGAGCAGCAAGTCCTGAATCAGTAACATCTACTGCCAGTAAACGATTAGAACGACAAGTTAACGAAGAAGTGCGTGCTACAATGGCAGCCATATTTCCATCATTGGAAACTGAATTAAATAATTTTATCAATTTTCTGGACAAAATTGATAGTTTGTGCGTTTGTGTCATAAAATTTACTTAACACCATTTCAAACAAAATTTATTTTCGTACTAATTTATAGTTCAACATTTTAGTTGGTGTATGTATGTCTTAGTACGTTTATCACAACATGTTATGTCAGCACAAGATACTGGCTCTTTTTTATCTATGACGTTCGCTTCTGCTTTAATTCAAGTTAAAAGAGCGTTTGACAAATTCATGCAAGCGCAATTACAATCAATTCTATGTGATACAAAAGTTAATCGTAGAAATAAATGTGGTATATTGCCATATGTAGAAAATTTTGAGCCATTTGCAAGAACAGCAGAAAAGATTTTTAAGAATTCAGATAGAAAAGTTGACCTTGAAAAATGGTATACAAAATTAGTGAGTACGATGTTTGAAGCTATTGTAATTCACAGTAGAGATCATCATAAAACTCCACAAGAAGTTATTAAAATGGGTAAGATTTTTTCATTTCTGTCATTGGTCTCTTTATTTACTTATATTATTTATATAATAGTTGTTAAATTTTAGAAAATTTTCATCATTTGTATGACCTTCTATCACAATTAAAAATATCTGTTCTTGATCATGAAAGGAAAGAAGCAAAACAAAAGTATCAAGATGCTCTACGTGCATATGTCACACAATATTTTGGAAGACCTCTAGAAAAACTTAATGTTTGTTACTTATATTTCTTAATTTGTAAGATTAATTTTTAAAATTATTATAATACATAATATACTTACAGCTGTTCTTTGAAGGTGTGCAAGCTAAAGTTGGTGCTGGAGTTAAAGAATCCGAAGTTAGTTATCAAATGGCTTTTAGTAAACAAGAGCTTAGGCGTGTTGTAAAAGAATATCCTGCTCGAGAAGTTAAAAAGGGTTTGGAAAATTTGTACAGAAAAGTTGAGAAACATCTGTGTGAAGAAGAAAACTTATTACAGGTAAGTAAAAAAAATATATTTTATTGTATTTTTTATTTTCATGGTATATACTTATTCGTTTTAGGTTGTTTGGCGTGAAATGCAAGGTGAATTTATTGCACAGTATATATACATTGAAGAATTAATTCAACGATGTTATCCAGACAGTATGGTAACACTTGAATTTACTATACAGGACATTCTCGAATTTTTTTCGGAAATAGCGCGATCGCATTAAAAAATTCATTATTTAAAAACTCTACCGTAAATAAGAGCGTAATGTATTTTAATAGTTCAAATGAAATGTAACAGTAATAAAATAATGTAATTTCTTCACAAGTCACTCTAAATTTTAAAGGAGGTAACTTAATAACCCTTTTTAGTTCATTGGTCACCTCCAAGGACGATGTTCGCGCGACGGGCCCTTCGGCCATCGATCGCGCACGAAATTTGTCACTCTTGATCGATCAATCGTAAGTACGTGATCGGGAGTCCGTGTGTCCGAGAGACAGAGTTGTTCGGAATTTCGTGATAGATTCCTTTGCGGTAAAGTCCTCCGCGTAGCGAGGCAGAGTGCCGTGGTAGTTGAAATAATCCGATTCTTAACAAGGACTCACAGACGCGCACGTTAAATTTTCCCTCTACCTAAATTTCTATCATTTCTTTCTTTTTTTAAATCGTTTGCTCGCGTAGTAATTTCGTATTAACTTCACTCCGCGTAAATTATATATATTGATTGTTTCCGTAATAAATCGTAATTAATCGTAATTCGTCATTCGTTTGTCTCTCGTCGACGTACTCGTCCGTTTTAATTCGTTTGCGCCGCGACAAGTGCAGTGATCAACGTCTTACCGTTTCTTTGGTGTTCCAGATCATCAGGCGAATACACAGAATTTAGCAAACGAATATATTATAATCTTGTTTCGTATTATACAGCGTAACGGTAAGTCGTTTCAATTACATTTTTCGATCACGACGTTCATTGATTGGCAAAACGGGCGATCTGGTCCAGCCCTTCAGGGTTACGAGAATTTCTCAGGTCAGATCGTTCCACCGTACGAGGTATTGACTGATTTCAATATTATTTTTCCGTTTATTGCAATCTCGCAATTCCGATTTTTCCATCATCAAAAGGGCACCTTAGTCCAGCTCTTTCGAGAGTTACGAGAATTTCTCAGGCTAGGGTGTACCGCGGGCGGAAACCCGGAATTGTAATAATCATTTCACGCGACCGGTACATTAGTCAAATGTTTCAACTGTGATATCAGAGTGTTTTCATATTCATATATATATATATATATTTTGTTAATTAATTTTAAGCATCTTTACACTTGTACACATTTTTGCAAAACTGGTAATTCTAATTTAACGGAATTTCTAAATTATTTAACTCTTAACTTTGGCATTTCACAGTATTTTTCACTCACAATTAAACCAGTTTCATTTAGTTAAACAGTTTCCATTTATTTCAAACACACCTCACGCATTTCAGCCAAACACGCCTACCAACATACACAGATTCAAGGAGGGTCCCGTACGGGACCAAGCGTTGAAGGAACCCAACGAAAGGCTAATAATTATAATCTTTTAACATCTTATCAATTTTGTCTTTCGTCTTTTAATTTGTCGAGAGCGTTAACACGCTCGAGACTGGTGGCAGCGATACCAACCATCGCGCTAAAATAGGAAAGTAGGTATTGGGGGTTGAATTCCAACCAATTAATTGAAATTTAACCACCTATATCCTCCAATTTTTATCTTTCCTTTTTTTTTTACGTTGCGCCGTCGTACGCGCAACGTAACAAAATTTTGGTGGCAGCGGTGGGATACTCAGCGCTGGCTCTCTGAATCTGTGTGATTTGAGGTGTTTGAAAATTTTTGTATTTCCGTATTAATCACTCTTCTGAAATCACAATTGAGGCAAAACCGGGACATTATAGATACCCCTTTTGCCAGACTTGCCGCACTGCGAAAAGCGAATTATTATTTGTGTAAGTTGTGAAATTATATTTATATTATATTTATATACATATATGTGTGTTGCGATAATTGTTCATCTAAAGTGAATTCAAAATTTCAAATATCTGGTTCTAGTCGAAATTATTTATTTATTTGTTTTTATTTTGTATTTATCTAATTTATTTATTTATTTAATATTTATTTATTTATTTAATTTATTTTGTGTTTATCAAAATTTCTATCTTATTGAAATTATCTCTGATTTTCTCTGAAATTATCTCTGAAATTATCTAGATTTTCCCAGGAATTGAACAATTATCGCTAATTCTTGATTTTTCCGGTATTCTGATATTTTTGGATATTGATTTTGATTTAATTTTGATTTGAATACTGGGTGTTATATTTTTGTGTTAAATTTTTGTGTTTTGTATATATATATATCTCATATTTGAATTTGAATCCGTATATATTTTTCGCGTATTAAAATTTTCCAAAATGCAAAATCCGATTGACGCTGGCGAAGGCCCGAGCGGAGAGAGACCGCGATCACCCGAGAACGCCGGTGAATTATTCGATACATGGCGAGATACACGAAACGTCGGTTTTGATACGCATAGAAACGATGATCGCGACCACGGCGATTTGTCTACTACGGTTATGGAAAGCTTTGCCGTGCAACAAGCCGCCCACCACGTTCCGATTTTTGATGGACGGAATATCCGTCTTCGGGACTTTATAAGCGAAATACAATACCATTACGATAGTCTACCACCTACGGGAAGAAGGACTTTCCTTCGACTCGTAATTTCGCGTCTAAGGGGGGAGGCACGCGACAGCGTTAACGGTCTACGTTTTCTTACCATAGGAGAATTAGTCCGGCACTTAAAATATCGTTTCACGCCGGAGAAAACGTTTAATGACTACTATCGACAATTAACCGATATACGTATGCGATGCGACGAGTCGGTATTTGCGTCCCACGATCGAATAAGAGCACTGTTAACGGGTATTGAAGATGTGCTCAGAAGGGATTACGGGTCAGAGGCTACAACGATGATTAAACCGGTAAAATTGACCGCGGTAGATGCGTTCGTCTATGGATTGCCTGAAGAGCTTGCGAGAGCGGTTGAAGCGCGCAATCCGAAAACGCTAAAAGACGCGGTAGAAATCGCCGTTCAGATAGAAAATCGCCAAAGGCAACGTCCGTTTGCATCTCGTGATTATTATTATCGTCCAGCTTACGAGCCGCGTAGCGAACATTACGATGACTATCGACCGCGATATCAGAGTCCAGATCGTGATAGATCGTACCCTCCGCGATATAACAGCTTTTCACCATCTAGACGTGAGCAATCGCCGGAGCGCACGAATTTCGGATCTCCGATCAGAGACGCGAGTAGAACGCGTGAATTCCGAGCATCGAGCCCGATACGAACTTTTCGGGCAGATTCGGCAGCTAGAACGGCTCAGCACCACTGTGCAGGCTGTCGCCAGTGATGCCAGAACCGTGGGACGTGGGACAAATCTTTACCCTCTCCACGACGTCCCACGACGTCCCAGTGACTCCCCTACCGCAGTTGTTTCATCTAACACAAGCGCGTTGTCCCACGTGTCCGTGTGAGCTCTGCGGGTTTGGCAGAGTTCGGCTGCTCTCGTCATTTCTACGTTATCGGTTCGATGCTCAAGCCGCTAAAGCACGTGGCAGCAGCATCGACGAATCGACAAAATAATACAGGGAGATTCTCTCGGCGCGCAACACAATAGCCGCCCCGCACAATGGAACCCTGCTGTGTTTGCGGGCAAAAAGCTCAGGAGGTCAAGTCGCCGGACCCAAGACTGCTCTGTGTGTCTTGGGTCCGGCGACTTGACCTCCTGGGCTTTTTGCCCGCAAACACAGCAGGGTTCCATTGTGCGGGGCGGCTATTGTGTTGCGCGCCGAGAGAATCTCCCTGTATAATTTCGTCCATGGCAATATGGTAGAAATGAGAAAGCAGGAGATTCAGTTCGAATCCAGATTCTACGGTTTCAGTTCTGATTCTTAATGCATTAATGTTTTTTTAATACATAAAAATACATTTTTAATACATTAATACTATGAAATACATTAACTTGGGAAGCAGTTAAAAAAAGGAGTTGAACTGCATCTTTCTTTGATATTTTTTTAATATTTAAGTTTTATATGTATACATATGTATGTACGTACATATGACAAAAGTACGTGATACAGAAGTAATTTCTTCAATTAGATATTATTGTTATTCTAACTATTACAATACGTAAATCCGAAGACATACGAGGAAAATTGGTTAGGTTAAATTGTAAGGATGTGTTGAATTCCGGGTTGGGGAATCAGGTACAAAACTTTTAAAAATCAAGACGTTTATTGAACGGCAAGAAGCGCACGCTAGTACTGACTACAGAAAAGTCTGCCTAGACGTTTTGGGGAACATCTATATATATGGTAAGCGAGGGTAACTGGGGGTCAGCGGATGGTCAAGGTACAAGGGGCAGGATGAATAACTGGGGAGAAGAAGCTACCTGAGTAAGGAAGGAATAGGATGACTAACTAAGTGCAGGAGGCTAGATGAGCTGGAACTATGACTAGGATATGTTTGGATTAGGATATCTTTGTTGGTGGTGAATTGGTCATACAACAGATATAAAGAAATTTTAATCTTTAACGGTTTGTTAGTTTTATTTCTTATTCCTTACAACTATTATAATTTTATTCTCTGAATGGTCATTACAATGAAAGATGGATTAGATACAATTTGATTCCTCATTTAATTTGTTATATACATATCAGGTTTCTTGCAACTATTGCAACTGGTCCACGCTTATACGATATTGCATATTTTACTTTCCTATAATACAACAAGGAAACAAAACTATAATATAGTGATTACCATAATATGATAGAAAATGTTAAGCTTGCTATAAACCTTATGTTTTTTTTGTATACTTATGCTGCACTTTCGCTTCGTTGCTTTATAATGACTAATGACTGATTTTTCTTTTGAATGAAACTTCCACTAGCGTATTGATGAAATTTTTCGATTAAAACAAGATCAAACACGACATAATTTGGATTATACTTATGTACTTTATAAATTTTCATCAGGTTTTAAATAAATAAGTAGATATAATGCAAATTATGTCGTTTTTGGTCTTATTTTAATCAGAAGAACCTTACAATTACATTGGTAAACGTTTCATTTAGCAAAAATGAAAAATAAAAAAGTTATGGTTAAATTAATATTGTCTCACT